GAGAGAGAGAGAGAGAGAGAGAGAGAGAGAGAGAGAGAGAGAGAGAGAGAGAGAGAGAGAGAGAGAGAGAGAGAGAGAGAGAGTTTTCCATCGAGAGGATGAGCAACTTACAGGCCAACAGGCAATCCGATTTTGCTCATCCTATCGATGCAAGTAGCGTGAGGCCAGCCGCGGCGTTGGAGAATTACCTGTTCGCCGGGGCTGGCCTCACGCTACTTGCATCGATAGGATGAGCAAAATCGAATGAATCTTCCGCTAGGACATGGAAATATACCTACTACACGTGTGTGTGTGTGTGTGTGTGTGTGTGAGAGAGAGAGAGAGAGAGAGAGAGAGAGAGAGAGACGCATCGGCGAACAGGTAAGTCTGGCCTCACGCTACTTGCATCAGTAGGTGCTCATCCTATCGATGGAAAACTCTCTCTCTCTCTCTCGGCTAGCCACGTGGCGGGCCTTTTTTCTTTTGTTTTTTCCATAGGAGATAGCTATGGCGGGATCTTTGTCACGTTGTTTGGCGGATGAGGAGCGGGAGGAGGAGCGGGGGGAGCGGGTGAAGGAGCGGGAGGAGGGGTGGGAAAAGGAGCGGGAAAAGGAGTGGGAGGAGGAGCGGGAGGAGGTGCGGGAGAAGGAGCACGAGGGGAAACCGGAAGGGGCGGAGGAGGTGCGGGAGGAGCAGCGGTAGAAGGAGCGGGAACGGGGGGGGGTTAGAAACGGGAGAAGGAGCACGAGGGGAAACCGGAAGGGGCGGAGGAGGCGCGGGAGGAGCAGCGGTAGAAGGAGTGGGAGGAGGAGCGGGAGGGGAAACGGGGAGAGGGTTAACAACGCGCGGGAGGCGGAGGAGCGGGAGGAGATATAGGTGGGGGAGGAGAAGCAGGAGGAGCGCGAGGAAGAGCGGGAGAAGGAGCGGGAGGAACGCGGGAAAGAGCAGGGGAATCAGCGGGAGGAGTGGGAGGAGAAGCAGGAGAAGGAGCGGGAGCGGGGCTATGGCGGGATCTTTGTCACGTTGTTTGGCGGAGGAGCAGCGGGAGGGGGAGGAGGAGGAGGAGGAGTGGGAGGAGCGGGAGAAGGAGCGGGAAGAGGAGTGGGAGAAGGAGCGGGGAAGGAGCGGGAGTGGGGGGCTATGGCGCGGGAAGAGGAGCGGGAGGAGGGAGAGGAGGAACGGGGGGAGGAGCGGGAGAAGGAGGGGGAGGAGGAACCGGGGGAAGAGCAGGAGAAGCAGTGGGAGGAGGAACAGCAGGAGGAGCCGGAGGAGCAGCAAGAGGGGGAGCGGGAGAAGGAGAGGGAGGAGGAGAGGGAGGACGAGCGGCAGAAGGAGCGGGAGCGGGCCTATGGCAGGATCTTTGTCACGTTGTTTGGCGGAGGAGGAGCGGGAGGAGGAGTGGGAGGAGCGGTAGAAAGAGGAGTGGGAGAAGGAGGGGGAGGAGTGGGAGGGGAAACGGGAAGGGGTTGCATCTCACAGCCCCTTAGTCCATACTCTCCTTCTCATTTTGCACATTGGCAGGCTGCTCAGTTTATGCACACATGAAAACTGTTGAAGTGGCCGTGCGTGGGCGCGCACGTGTGTCTCACACACACACACACACACACACAGAGAGAGAGAGAGAGAGAGAGAGATTGAGAGAGAGAGAGAGTTTTCCAGCCATGCAGGCATACAGATAGAGAGGCTACTTCCAGCGAGAGAGAGAGAGAGAGAGAGAGAGAGAGAGAGAGAGAGAGAGAGAGAGAGAGTCTCTCTCTCTCACACATACACACACAAAACCGCCTGATCAGTCGAAAACAGTCTGCCACAGTCATGTTTTTTTTTAGTGTATAGCGAATATGACGACACAAAAGAAAAATTAAAAAAAATGCCAAAGCAATGTGACAACAACAGCCCCACCCCCTGGTTCCTCCCTCTTCTTGGCCGCAGCGTGGCTGCGGCGGGTACACTTGTTGACTAAAGTGCATAGTGATGTTCCTAATAAACATGAAGAAATTGGCGAGGACGTGGTGGAATCGATGGTTCGTTTAGTGACGTCAGCGATGTTGAATGAGCATGATGGACAGCTGGCAGGCATGGTAGATTGGGAGGCAAGGTTGGATGCCGCTTTGGTGGGGCGGCACTATATGCGAGGACAACTGCAGTAGGTAGGGGTTTTGATTGTTCGGCGATGAAGCGGGGAGAGGATCTCGTGATTTTACGCGAGGGTTGTTCGCATCAGCGGTTGTATGCCATCCACTGGTTGGAGCGTGCTGTTTGATTGGGATTCTCCAGTTGACAAGATTTTTAAAGAGAAGAGTATTGCATTCGCTCTTGATGCTCCATGGTTAGCTGTTGAGTATGTTCTATTATCACTAAGCATGGGGGTTCTGTAGTTTCGTGGCTTAATAAGCGATTGATCTTGTAGTGCCTGGGGGTATGTTTCCAATTTTCGACAGAGGCCACACGGTCGTTAGTTGGCTATGAGAACGTTCCGTGTGATGGGGAGGTTGTGGAGATCGGGAGTGAGCATCGTTACGTGTTTTTAAGTGTTAATTAGCTACTTCGTATGTGTGCGACGAGGTCTCCACGTGTTTTCAGGTGCTAATTAGGTATGGGGTGCGTGAGAAGGGATTTCCGTTCGTATGGGGTAAGAGGGAATTTTGGAAGTGCGAAGAAAGCATCGTTATGTGTTTTTTTTTGTGCCAATTAGGTAAGTGGGGTGTGTGAAATGCGGTTTCCAGGGGAGGGGGCTAGTTCGTATATCAATGAGGGTGAGAAAAAAGGAAAGTAAAGACGAAGAAGGTCAGAATGCTACAATTTCATTCCTTATAGTGTCGAAAGCCTGTGCACGCTTTCCTCTACGTGTTTCAATCTGGTTGCGCTCGGACTCATTAGGGGGCTTGCCGTGTATTCTTGCCTTTTTGCCCGTCGATCTTGACCACCCATGAGCTGGTGATGGCCGAACCCGCCTTGCCCTTGTAATTAGGATCGTCCTTTGTATGATCACTACCTTTGCTCCATATTAGGCGCTGATTGGTTCCTCCTTCCTACGTCGGATTATTCGTGTCTTCTGTAGCCGTCAACTTTTCGTAGTCTGTGTCGTGTTGGACTGTTCCTATCCCCAGTCGTTTACATGCGTGAGGGTTTTCAAATGTTAATTAGTTACTTAAAGTATGTGTGATACAAGGTTTCCACGTGTTTTCAGGTGGTCAAAAGGGATTGCCGCTTGTATGGGGTAACAACGAATTTTGGAAGTGCGAAGAAAGTAGCCTTATGTTGTGTTTCTTACTGCTAATTAGGTACTTTGGGTGTGTGACTTGCGGTTTCCAGGGCAGGGGGCTTAATCGTATATCAATGAGGGTGAGAAAGACAAGGAAGGACGAAAAAAAGGTCAGGATGCTATAGTTTCATTCCTTGCAGGTGTGTACAGTGTCGAAAGCTTGCGCACGTTATCCTCTACATGTTTCATTCTGATTGCGCTCGAAACTCGTTAGGGACTTGCCGCGTTTTCTTACCTTTCGGCCTGTCGATCTTTACCACCCATGAGCTGGTGATGGCTGAACCGGCCTTGCCCATATAATTAGGATCGTCCTTTGTATGATCACTGCCCTTGCTCCATACTAGGCGCTGATTGGTTACCCCTTCCTGAGTCGGATTCTTCATATTTTCTGTAGCCGTCAATCCTTCGTAGCCTGTGTCGTGTTGGATTGTTTACATGCTTGTTTAGACCCGTGCACTGCCTGGGATTAAAACTCGAGACTTATGTCTCCATATTCGGTCAGAAAGCCGTTTTTCCAGTTCACCTATATTCTTTGGTGGACTATCACGTGTCTTTTTCCTTTTGTACTTGGGGTTCCTACCCTGTGTCTGTCCCGTTCGTTTCCCTCGTGCACGGTTTATATTGTGTACATGCGTGTATGTTGCGTTGGGCAACTACTCGTTTTGCCATTCCGTATCATATACTTGCTTCCGAGGTGCTTTTCCAAGACCTTTCCGAAAGAATTCGATGGACGCTAATTCCAAACAGTGTCACGGAGATCTTATGTCTTTCTGTCCTATGCAAACCGTTTCCATGGTACTGATTCATACATCATATACAAAGTAATAAGTAATAATGATTGCATGCTTTATACGGAGAGGTGTGAGCTATTTCGTGGTTGGTTATAAAGAGCATATTTTAGTCGTGCGGTTTGATGGATTGTGTTTGGGGGGAGTGGAGAGGGGGGGGAGAATGTCGTGAAGTTAAGGAGAGGTTTATTTAGGCACAACAGAAGTTGCATGTCATATCGATTGGGAGGCGCTGCTCATAATGTGCGGGAGTACGGGGACCAAGGGGAGGGAGGAGAGGGTGGGGAGTTCTCCTTTATCACAGTGTTTTCTACTTTTATCGCCAAAGAAATTTGTGTTGTCTAGTTCGTAGGAAAAACTAGATAAGGACACTGTTGTATATGCGTGAGGTGAACGTGGCGGACATGACTGGAGGGGGTTGGATGAAGAAGGAGGTAGTTAAGCCTATACGGTAGAGTTTTACTGTGGTTTATGATGACGTGTATGCGGGGTATTGATTGGAAGTTGCAGCTGAGCAGGAAGGACGGTAAAGAAGATGATGTTTAGAAGGGGGTTCGACTCCTATTATATCAAAGCAAATTTAGTGCGTATGTGTGTGTGTGTGTGTGCACGGAAGGGTTTGGACGGAGGTGATATTTTTATGGCAGAGTAAATCCCGGACGATTTCAGTAGACGCAAATTTCTAACGGTGCCGCGGAGATCTATGCTTTTCTAGCCTATGCAATCAATTCCAGGGATCAATTTCCTACGAAATGTACATCAGATAAGTACCCAAAAAAAAACAATTCCGAGTATAACTGAAAAAGATGTTGGGAGCTCAGAAAAAAATAATAAAATAAAAACATAAAAACGATTGCATACTTTTTACGGAGAGGTGTGAGATGTTTAATGGTTGGTTGTGAAGAGTGGTATTTCAGTCGTGCAGTTTGATGGATAGTGCATGGAGGGGGGACTGTCGTGTGGTTAAAGAGGGTTTTATTAGCATATCGATAGGGAGGTATTGTTTATAATATACGGGAATACGGGGGTCAAGGGAAGGGAGGAGGGGGTGGGGGTGGGGAGTTCTCCTTCCATATCTCGTCACAGCATTTTCCACCTTTATCGCATACAATTGCCGTCTAGCTCGTATGCGAGGTCAGATATGGACACCGTTGTAAAATGCGGTACAAGGTGGGTTATCTGTGGTGAGGAGCGTGGGGTGAACGTGGGGGGGTCGGGAGGGGGGGATAAAAAGGGCTGGTCAAGCCAAGGGGTTGGAGTTTTACTGCGGTTTACGATGATGTGTATGAGGGGTATTGATTAGAAATTGCAACTGAGAAGGAAGGAAGGTAAAAAAGATACTGTTTAGAAGGGGGTTCCACCCCAACTATTGTATCAAGGCGAGTTTAGCCCGTATGTGTGTGAAAAAACAAATGCAAGATGCATCGACAACCCATTTGACTGGGAACAACAAAAATACCTTCGTCGTCCTATTTCAGAATCATAAAAACGATCAGAAAACCCAGAAAAAACAAGTCAATTCGATCACCACAGCAGCATTCTACTCAAGTACGCTGACAATAAACAACCAATGTTAGCATTCCCAAAACGGATCTATCACTGGGTTGTACTGGAAGGATGAAAGGGGTAGAAGGGAGAGTGGAAGGAGGTCGGGAGGTGGCGGAGAGGGAGTGTGCGAGAGAGGAAGAGGATGAGAGAGGGAGAGAGAGGGGGAGAGAGAGTTGAAGAGCGAGAGAACGGGAGAGTGAGGGAGAGAGAGGGGGAGGGGGAGAGAGAGAGAGAGAGAGAGAGAGAGAGAGAGAGAGAGAGAGAGAGAGAGAGAGAGAGAGAGAGAAAGGAGGGAGGGAGAGACAAAGAGAAGGTCCTTCATCTGATTATAGTCAGGAGAAGGAGGGGGTACGCACGTCCCCTTAAGCGCTTTTTGCCATCCGCACCCTTGGATGGCTCATCAGAGGGTAGATGGACATGGAGTCCGGTCCCTGAGAATCGTAGGAAGCGAGAGCAGGAGGGGAGAAGACTAGGGGGAGGGGGAGGGGGGAGGGGGGCAGTCCTGAACACCTGAGAGGATTTGCATCTCCTCACCTGGTCCGATTACCAGTGAAGTAGGGTCAATTCTTCCAGGGTCTTAGAGGTAGGGAGAGGTGGGAAGGAGAATGGTGTGAGGGGGGATGAGGGTGAGGGGATAGTGGCGTCGTCGTAGTCAATTCATACGGGGGTGTGGGGGGGTAGAGGCTAAGAAGGTGTGTGTATCGTAACTTACCTCATGATCGTTGATCTCCGTATCAGTGATGTGATCTTCTCCGATGTTGGCCATGGCAGAGGAGCACAGTCATTGCGTTGGACTGCTGGTGAGTGTAGCTTGTCGCTTGATTCTCAATCAGGGGATCGAGGGAGCGAAGGTAGGCAAAAAGAGCTCCGGATCGTATCGGTCACAAATATGGAGTCCGTCTCATAAGGTCCGGCTGTGCATGTGCATGTGACACAAGCTCTTGTGAGCAAGCTTGTTGTGTTCGTGAGGGAGAGGCAGGAGCAAAGTGGGTTGTAGCTACAGAAGCCGTGGAGGTGAGGGAGGGTGTGGCCGGTGGTGGGTGAAAGAAAGATCAAAAGGTGAGGGGGAAGAAAAGGGGGGATTATTGGGGGAGCCATGGTGGGAGGTTGCATGGGTGTGTATTTGGGAAGAAGGGTTGAGTGTTGGTGGGAGAGCTATCAGTAGTGGGTTGAGGGGTGGTACATCCAGGGGGATGTGTGTGGTGATGCGTTGGGTGTGTCGAACTGACCTGCTTCGGTTTGTTCGAGGTGAAAGTTTCTGTTTCCGGCTACGGGCGGGGTGTCAGTCAAGTTTAGGAGGCGGGGATTCGTCGGTTGCAGGTGCCGTCAATGTCCTTTTCGTCTGGTATGGAGGTTGGGAGGTTGTCTTTTTGTGGGGATGTTCCTGTGTTTCGAAATTTTCTTCTACGTCATTTCGTAGAGATCGTCCAGGGGTTGCGGGGGGGCGCTGTCGTTCTTCTGTTGTCTTGTAGTTGGGAGGAAAAAAGTTCCTAACTAAAGAAGCGTGTTTTTTAGGAGGGACGGGCTCAGGCTTATTTGGACGCCGGGGTTTGGTGGACCAGTGGTACCGGTATGGAAAAGTGGGTTTGCATGTGGGGGTACGCCTTCAAGAAATGTTGGCGGGGGTTGTGGTTTGGGAAAGGCTGACATTGTTAGTTGTGTGGGGGGAAGCCCAGGTGGAGAGCAGTGGGTGTGTGAGTTGTTCTGGTGTGTGAAGGGTGATTGGTGGGGGATGGTGGGTGGGAGAAGTGTTAGTTCTTTTCCTTGGGTGTGGGTAAGGGTACGGCGGTTACGTGGATGGCTTCTGTGGGGAGTGGTGTTGTTTTTGTTTTAAAGGTTGGTGATCATGCTGGGGGTTGTTAGTTCGTCTCTGTGTTGTGTTCGGAGTGGGGATAGGATGGCTTACATATGAAAGTGCTTGTGGGGTGTTGTATGTGTATGCGTGTGTGTACATGAATGCGTGAGTGAGTGTATTCTTATCTGTGAATGTGTGGTTCTTTAGGTTAGTGTGAGTGTTTTATCTATGTGTGTGTGTGTGTGTGTGTGTGTGTGTGTGTGTGTGTGTGTGTGTGTCCCTCCCTCATTCCCTCATTATGGGGCCCGGGAGGATGGCGAACCTGCCCCCTCAGGGCAGTCCGCCATCCGAAGCAGATTACAAGTGAGTAGTCTACACACATCACACACTATCACACACACACAGTTGGAGTTGGAGTGATCCGAGAACTATTGCGCTGTTGCATTGGAATGGTTGATAGGAGTGCGGGTTTTGGAGTACCTCTTTGATGATTTTCAGACATCTAGGGGTTGAATCCATTTTCTATCATTGCTTGCATACTATCGATTATTTCAGTGGCTGCGTCTTCAGGTTCAGAGGAGACTGTCATTATGCTGATGACTTGGGGGATCAGTATTTTTACTGACTGCCTGTTGGATTCATATTTGAGCGACCTGTTGATAAGGAAGTCTAAGTCTCTCCTTTTGTCATATTTGGTAGTTTTGTAGAAACCTCGGATGGGGTCCTGGATTTCAACTGTTGTGTCGAGGAAGTTGCATTTGGTTCAGATTTTATGATGTCCCATTTTTTTGTGTTCTACTGTCTGTTCTTTTAAAGTTACGTAGTTGAGTGGGTAGATAATAGTATTTACTCCTTTCACTTTTAATATCTGGATTTAAGAATTCAAGGATCCCAGGGTTGTTAATGCATTTTAGATCGTCGAAGTATCTGAAAACATTCTGAAATTGAGGGAGTAAGTGTAAGACTCAGTTGGGTTGTAGTTTGCGTTTCTTCATGAAGTTGTATTCGTATCGAAAGAAGTAGAGGTTACACCAGACGGGTGAACAGCTGAACCCCATGGGGACGCCTAGTGTCTGCCTCCATATTGCACCCCCCAAGGAGGTGTATGCATTGTTGATGAGCCATGTGTTCATTTGACCGATGAGTTCCATGGAGAAAATTACTGTATTTTGCAACGGGGCATTGGCCCAGAAAGTGCAGAATCTATCTTCGTTTTGTGTGTTTCTGATTTTGCAGGCTAATTTGACGTTTTTCCATAGTTTTTTTCTGGCCTGCTGGAAAGCAATTTTTACTAAAAATGTGATGGCTTTACGGAGTCCATGTGTTGAGTCGTCAATGGGGCTTGTTTCGTAGCAGCGTGTGATGTCTGCTGAATATACTGAGTAGATCTCAGATGGTAAGTTGTAGATATAGTCTGAGATGGAGTCTATAATCCACCAGAACGGTACTCTACAGCCAGTTTCTGTTTCAGCGTTCCCCGTTAGATCCCCACAGTGGCTTTTTACCATTTGTGCTAGTGTTTTTGAGATTGCCACCTCCCACTCGGCGTGTTTGCTGTTTAAATTAAGATAACTCTTTAAAGTTTAAACCTTATTTAATTCTTATTTATTGAGAAGGATAATTAGTAATATCACTTAGTACAAACACTAATTCCAAATTGATTTCAATTTAGAAACAAATTTCAAGGGGAAGCTGTATGAAATGTAAATTTCATGTACGGTTTTTGAAACGGAGATTTCTTTGAAAAGTCGATCGTGACGAATGTCTGTTCAAGCCTGAAGGAGAATATGCAGAAGCGCTGTAGAAATTGAACGATGCAGAGAAGATTAGCATGGCCCCTGCACAACTAAAACCAAAAAAAAAGAGATGAAGTGTTTCCTGTTTTTTCCACTGTTTTCCTTTTATATCAGATGGGCATGTGGGCATATGTGCTTCCATCTTCTTACTCGTCATTCAGGTTGGGCGAAGGGGACCTTTTCAGAGTCCAATGCCCAACCTACGTAGTGCTGTTTTGAATGGCCCCATGGCTAACTGCAGATGAGTTCAGGGAAAAGGGCTGAGGTTTTACTTTTATGGTGTAAGAAGCCTTCAATCCAGCAGTGGAAGGCAAACCAGGGTCATTCTCCACTTGCCAGATGGAGTCTTGGCTACAATGTGCAATACTTGTGCTTTGCTGAGTTTCACTTGTTACTCACCACTTGTTTTTGTAAGGGAAAAGTGTGTGGAATTCTGGAGGCCTGCCTAGGCTTACTAGTTCCAAAACTAGCTTTGTCAGAATGCCCCTRGACGTGCAGATGGGCAAGTGCATGATCTGCACCGGGAAGAGCACATGATTGAGTGCCCTCAGACCAAACTAGTTTTCAAAGTCATAAACATCAGTGGACCATTCCCGTACATCACCCTACTTCTTCACTAAGAGCAGGATAACAAAGATGCGATAAAGTCAACAAACAAGCAGACAAACACAAAAAGAATGGCCCATGCGCAGAGCTAGCTTCATCGCGATTCTCACAAATCACTGCCGTAATGTGCGATGGTGTACGTCAATTGTCGGCAGACTTGTCGTGCATCCACGGCTGCTGAATGTTGTACCTCTTCTCTCGCATAGCCAAATACCAAAGTTTCTCCCTGATCAACAGCCTCGATCATACGAACTACCGCTCATGAATTCTGTCATGTGCCTCACTTCTCTGGCCCATTCTCCTCAGCGTACCTGTTTCACAGCTTGTTAAACTAATTAGCACAACCCAGTAAATAAATGGGGTCCTTTCTAAATCTATACCATGGCGGTATTTTTTTCATTAAATGATTTTAATCAAAATATAATGAATCAAATGCCCCATTGCTCCTTAGATGTAAACTCCAGCTTCTCCATCCACTATCCTTCTAGATGTTAACTCCATACTGTGGTGTCCCACCAGCAGCAAATAACAAACCGCCTCTCAAATCTGCAGTCAGCAGCAGCAGGGGCAACAACTGATTCAGAAACTGGTTCCGTAGCGGCAACAACCAAGTCACAAACGAGCTACGAGCTGGTTCGTAATGATACAAATGATGAAGCAAAATGACCAGGGCATTCTGAGAAAGTCCCATCTGGAGGAACGGGACTATGTCATTGGGAGGAATGATATAGTTCCACTCAGAGGAATGGGACTATGTCGTTCAATTAATGAATTGCCACTTCCGTCAGAGGAGTTTCGGAACTATAGTTAGTTAACAACCTACACTGCAAACACCGAAGTCGAAGGAGACGTGAAAGAACTGTCGAGAAGAAGATGAAAAAAAAACGCGTGCAGACGGCCCAAACAATGCATCGTCTCCTAGATACGATAGCCTCTCCCTCCAGTGTCCATGGGCCCAGACGTCCAGACCATCATCATGACGGCATAGTCACCATCGTCGTTTTCACTTGTCAGTCTAGAGCTGATAATTTACTGCTGAGCTCTGTGTAACCGAAGAAGGGAGACACACTTTCATACACAGTGACTGGAAGGCATCTGAGCAGTCCGCGAGCCCACACGTCCAGCCCATCATCATGACGGCACCGTCAGCATTGTCTTTTCCAGTTGTCAGTCTAGAACTGATAACTTACTTACTGCGGAACTCTTGTGTAACCGAAGAACGGAGACACACTTTTATACACAGTGACTGCAATGCATCTGAGCAGCGGCTGAGACGATCACATACTCAAGGGAGCATTGGTTATGTGAGGTCCTCATATTAAATAACCGGAAGGCATCATTTTATTTTGACGTGATTCGCTAATTGAATGACATAGTATCGGCTGAAATGATATTCTCATGGTACATCACAAAGGGGGAAGCCAAACAGATGTCACGCTTCCTTCCCACCTGGCTTCCAGCCATTTYTATTTACTTTCTATAGTTGCTTAGCTAACGATTTTTTGAGACGGAACGTTGATGGGAGAGCTAGGAGCGCGTCCCAGCCACCACTGTGATGGCTACTTCTTTATTTCATAAATGAGTATGTCATGGCAATGATAATAGAATATAGTAAATGCTTTCAGCTGCAGCGCACAAGCACCGACTGCTTCCGCTGCTGAATGACCCTGCTGCAGAAGATTAATAGTAAACCAGTAGTGGTGATAGTAGCAAGAGATGGCTGTGTGGTAGATGATGCCCGTTAGTGGCAGATGGTATGTATTATACAACATTGGATCAGCTTACTTGCTGGAAATCAGAATCTAGACGTAGCTGATAAATGAAGGATTGCGAAAGCTTGCAGGCAATAATTTATTTATTAGCAGTAAATTGATAACTTCCCCTACCGCCTTCACCCGAATAGAACGCCCGGTCATAATCACTGAATGTACACTGAAAGTTGCCGCAAATACGGCTATAATGACCGGGCGTGCTATCCGGGTGAAGATGGTAGCCACAACCCTCGACAGAGCAGATGGTGAGGGATGGCATGTCTGTTGCATCAGAAGAAAACTTCTCTACTACCGGTAGCCTTCTACATATGCCACGCACATGCTGATGGCAGAACTCTTATCACCCAGAAAGCTCTCGACACCAGTTGTCTTTGGCGATGAACACTGCTCCGTAGCTACCTTCATTCATAACATGGAGCCGACGCCTCTTTCATTGAYGTTTGTGAAGATATGTTCACGAATGGAGACCGGCTGCTGTCCCAAACAGCAAGTGCTGGTGGTCATACACCGGAACGCCACGGGAGTTCTGCTCTGTGATTGTAGAGTGGCCAAGGCAATGGCTTATTCAAGAGTGACTCTGGAGAGGAGACATAATATCAGCCCACTCCGTCACTTGCTGCGGGGGATTATGAAAACCTCACCTAGTGTCTTCCACTGATCATAACGCACCCTCATCACGAGTCATCACTGCATGAGACTGGCACGATGGCTTTGTATACATTCATGATGAGGTTGCATCGYGATTGGGGGAAGACCATCGCCTGACGAGAATGGCTGACCAGGAAAGAAACCTGAATTCCTCTGCTCGCTGAGACCTTGCACGTAGCCCTTGAGAGAGAAGATCATCAGACCAGGAAGGACCCTCACGCTCCCTTCCTACCTGAAACCTTGCACGTCGTCCTGGGGAGAGAACATCAGCCCCCTCTCTCATTGCTTTATGTTTATAATAACACTGCGGGGAATGATGAAAACCTTGCCCAGCCTGTGGACTGGTGGAGAATGGCTGGCCACGAAGGAACCTTGAATCCCCCACCTCCCTGAAACTTTCCACGTAATCTCCAGCAGATTATACAATGGACTRTGTCACAATCTCCCCCCAAAAAATATCATCCTARTGATGAGCATTTCATGTCATTCCCTGCGAAGTGTGCTCCATTCCAAATGCTTCCCCCCTCCTTCCCTCTCTCTTTCTCTCCTTCCTTTTTTAAACTGGATGCAGTGGATGGAATGAATCTCGTGTTAACCTCCACGACAGTGAACACGGTCCTCTACAATCACTTGGCTGAAGTTGGGTCAATCTAGGCACAGTCTATACAGCACACGCCACAAAGAACTTCRTAGAAAATGCTTGACCTGCCAGTTGTAAAGAATGGATATTTTTCCATTCCCAAGTTTGTGCAACATCTCCCAAGTCTGGAACATCACATGATCTCCCAAGTCTGGAGCTGTGCAACATGTCCCAAGTCTGGAGCTGAGCAACATGTCCCAAATCTGGAGCTGTGCAACATGTCCCGAGTCGGGAACTGCACAACATGTCCGAAGACTGGAGCTGTGCAACATGTCCCATATCTTGAACTGCACAGCATGCCCCAAGTCTGGAACCACACAACATGTTGCAAGTCTGGAGCCGCACATTGTGCCCCAAGTCAGGAGCTGAACAACATGTCTCATGTCTGGAGCTGTGCAACGTGTCCCAGGTCTGGAACTCAACATGTCCCAAGTCTGGAACTGCGCAACATGTCTTCAGTCTGGAATTGCAGCATATGTCCCAAATCTGGAACACAACAACATGTCCCATGTCTGGAGCTGTGCAACGTACCAAGTCGGAGACTGTGCAACATGTTCCAAGTCTGCAACTGTGCAACGTCCCAAGTTCGGAACCGCAAGACATTTCCCGAGTCTGGAACTGTGCAACATAACCCAAGTGTGGAAAAACTTCCGAAAAAGCACTTTGATGGATGTTGAAGGCCACACTAGGCGTAGTCCATGTCATTCTCGTCCTGCAGAGAGCCACGCAGAATACTCAATTGGCCATCCCGTTCCCACAGCTGGAGTTCCATTTCCTCTGCCTGTTCTCTCACCTTCTTTACCTCAGCCGACAGCCAATCGACAAGACTCTGTTTTCCTTTCACTTCGTTTGTGAGACTCTCTTTCTCCTCTGACAACTTCAATAGATCATAACGAAGCTTCCCTGCATCATCACTTAGAAGTTGGACCTTCTCCATCAACGATGAGATATCTGCATCTTTCTCTTGGACAACACGCTGAAGTTCCATGTTAGTGTATCGCAGCTGCTCAACTGMTGAGCTGAGCTGGAGTACCTTCCCATTCTGGAATCTCATCTCCTCCCTGAGAAGGTTCACCTCATTTCGAAGATTACTGATTTCTGCATTCCTACAGCCAAGCTGTTTCTCGCTCTCTGAAAGCTTTGATGCAAGACCATCAGCATGCTCTTTCAATCTCCGCCCTTCTTCTTCAGCATGCTCTTTTAACCTCTGAAGCTCATTGTCAGCATGCTCTTTCAGTCTCCGCCGCTCATCTAAGTGCTTCTTTAACTGCAAAAGAGTGACATGCACAGCAAATTGGAATATGAGTAATTTCCTTGGAATTCTCATCACAAATGTTACTTTTCCTCACCGGCAACAACCCCTCRCCATCATTTCACAATAAGCACGCCCTGTCATCTCCGTATCTTTTTAACTGCATTCTGAAAATAGCCACTGTTCCCCCTGAGCTGTCACCCACAGTACTTCTCCCAACCCTACAACACCCTCCACCCCCTCCGAAACACACACACACACACACACACACACACACACACACACACACACACACACACACACACATTCAATAACAAAAGTACGATAATTCTGTTTTATCAAGGGTCCTAGCAGAAAGTGTGTGTGTAATAAACTATTTGTAACTTTCGGGGAGTAATCAATACCATAGTTGTGGCGCACCAGTGCGCAGTGCAT